TCCAAAAAACCTCTTAAATGGCATCTACTGTCTGGAAATGTTTGTAAACTTCCCTTGCCATCTATCCCCAAAGGTTCTCAATTATATTTAAAGCAGGGGAACATGCAGGTTGGTCCAAAAGAGTGATGTTATTCTCCTGGAAGAAGTCCCTTGTCATGCAGGCATTATGCACTTTAGCGCTGTCCTGTTGAAAAACCCAGTCGTTACCACACAGATGAGGGCTCTAAGTTATGAGGGATGCTCTGCAATGTCTGGACATAGCCAGCAGCTGTTTGATGCCCCTGCACCTCCTGAAGCTCCGTTGTTCCACTGAAGGAAAACACACCCAAACCATTATAGTGTCCCCTTCACTGCAAAAAATTGAAAATTAAATTGTTTTATGAAAATTAAGTAAAGGTCACATTAAAATGTGAAAATTGATCTGTTAAATTAACTTTTTGTTTTGTTTTTTGCATTAGAAACCTGGAATTACAGCTACTTTGCTAAAAATCTTTAAGTGAAAATGTGCTACTTTTGACATTTATTACATTTATTTGGTGCATATTGTTGAAAAATGTCAGTTTCTTATTCACTGGCTAGTGACTGGCTATGTAGTGATGGGTTTTATGTAGGAGTGACACTGCTTTCTATGTCCAACCTTTCATTCGATACATCTTTAAATGCTATTTCATGTAATCAAGTTTGGGGGGTTTTATTAGCTGCCTTTTTTGGTAAACAACTTCTTTATTTTAATTTTGTGCTATTTATTGATAAGGGTTTTTCTGTGTTACTGGAAGGTCTTTACCTTAAATTATCACGTGCCTTGAGGTGACTGCAATTTTGCACAACAGAAAATAAAAGTTGAACATGTACCTTACAGAGGACTGCCTGAAGACACGATCACATCTGGGTAAAAGTGAAGACAACCCAAATTTATCATTTATTGTTTTTTTAATTGTCAGTTAAGTTCAGTATGAACGCGTATAAATTGTTATACGCTTTCCTATAACAGTTGCATGTGTTTAGGTGGATGCAGCTGGCAGGCAGACACTCATTGTTTTTAATACATACAAAGTTCAGTGTCTGATTTGTAATTGTATGAGTACAATTGCATAAGAAAAGTGTCATGGATGCTACAAAATTGAATTTGCAGAAAATTAAAAGTCGCAAAAGAATTAAAAGTGGTTCCCAAAATGTGTGCATTTATAAATCTTTTGTTAAAATGTGTTGCATTAAATATAAACTGAATAAAGTATGAGAAAAACGTTTGTTTTTCTAAGTAATACTAAAGTAGTTTCTTTTGGATGTTTCCATGATTTAAAAAAAAGTAATCTTTTGATATTCTATAACTTACTCAGACTAAAAATCTAATTTTCAAGCGAGACCTGGACCTGAAATAAGATTAAATGAATCACATTAAGAAACTCCCCTTCCAAACATAAACTTTAACCATTTTTCAAACACAAACACTCAATGAGTCCTTCTCCAATCCTGGTTTTTGGACTGTATTTACTATTATGATCATGACTTGTCCTCTGCTGCTAGGGGTCCTTCACTGTGCACTAATTCCTATTCACCCACGTGTCAGATCCTAGTTAGTGAAGTGGAACTCGTGTCACATGGAAGACCGGGTTCCCTGAGGGGGAGTGAGAAGTGTCCCTTGCTTTTTTTGCGGCTCAGAAAGTAGAGCAGGAAGGTTTTAATTGGAAGGTTCGTGGCTCAAT